AACTTGTAGGATGGGCTCACTCCAGGCATAGAGCATTGGGGCCAAAAGGAACATTAAAGTAAGTTATGTCTAATCCTCTTACGCATTTTAGAACTTAAAGGCCAAAGAAGTTAAGCATTTTGCTCAAAAGACAATCAGTTAGTACCAGAGCCTGGCCTGGAACTGAGATTTTTTCACTGTCCCACTGGGAGGTCAGGGAGGTCACCAGAAAGGTGGGGCAGGGTCTGAGAAGACAAGGGGCATGAGATGACTAGAGGAATGCCATCTCTGCGAGACTTGGGCAGGTTGGGGGAGCAGCAGAGACTCTTGCTGTTTCTAGAGGGGATTTAGGGCCATGGAGTGGTTGAGTTTCTCCATCCTGTCCACATCTCCAGGACTTCCTGCTGTCCTTTAGCCTATGCGTAATTTATTTTGGGCTTCAAGGCTTTGGCACCCACCCAAAGCTGGAAGAGGATGCTTAGGAACTCCACAGTAACACCAGTGTTCTGTGGATCCAGAGGGATTAACAGCTCCAGGAGGCTAGGATCAGATTTCCGAGGGACTTCTGTGATCTGAGGGTAGAAGGACAACAGGGCACCAGAACAAGGATGCATGTGGGGTCTGCCACGTGGGGAGAATGAAACAAGCACCCCAGGCCAGGAGGAGCAACTTATGTGCAAATACGGAAGAAAGCAGTTTCTGGATCAGCAACTATTGCCTGCTTGCTGTTGCTGGGGGAGGGGAGTGTAGTGCAGTGTATGTGAGAGGGTGTACAAGTATCGGGCAAGGTTGTTTTTGTAAACACATGAAAAATGCATCTGGAATGCCTCTCCAGAGTCTGAAATGTACTTAACATGAGATAATACTCCTTTTATTCGTAACTCTGGATGAAGTCCTGGTTAGAACTTGTGTCTTCTCTTAGGCTTAAATAAGGTCAGACACTGAGGGCCTGGGGAGGGTTGAGAGTGGCACTGTCCCGTAGAAACATGTGGGGCACACGTGTAATTTAAAATTTTCTAGGAACCACAGTAAAATGGAAATGGTGAGATTAATTTTAAAAATTTATTTAACCCAATATATCCAGAAAATTATTCCTAAGATTTTACATTTTTTATACTATTTTTTAAATCCAGCATATATTTTTACACTTATAGCACATTTCACTTCCTACTGGCCACATCTCAAGTGCTCAATGGCCACATTTGGCTACTGGCTACCATATTGGACAGCACAGGTGTAGGGAAAGTGCTATATAAAGTTGTAAAGTGGCTGGAAAATGGCACTAGGAAAAGAAAAAACATGTGCCTAGAGGAGGAAAAAAGCCTGAAGCTAAACAGCCTTCAAAGTGAAGGGCTGACCGCTAGTGATGTTTATTAATGGTTTCCATCTCCACTGAGAGCTCACCCCATGCTGTGTCCCCCTCCATCCCCAAAAAGTTGGTTTACATTTCAGCTATGTGAGATATTTTATTTAAACCTAAATAGAGGTCGGGTGTGGTGGTTCACGCCTGTAATCCTAGCATTCTGGGAGGCCGAGGCGGGCGGATCGTTTGAGCTCAGGAGTTCGAGACCAGCCTGAGCAAGAGCGAGACCCCGTCTCTACTAAAAATAGAAAGAAATTAGCTGGACAACTAAAAAAACATACATATAAAAAAATTAGCCAGGCATGGTGGCACATGCCTGTAGTCCCAGCTACTCGGGAGGCTGAGGCAGGAGGATCGCTTGAGCCCAGGAGTTTGAGGTTGCTGTAAGCTAGGCTGACTCCACAGCACTCTAGCCTGGGCAACAGAGCGAGACTCTGTCTCAAAAAAAATAAAATAAAATAAAAAAACCTAAATAGAAAAAAAAATTGAATCTTAGCTAGTAGGATAAATGTTTATCTTGCCTTCTTCCTTCATTTAGTCAACAAATGCTAAGTGAGGAAGCCAGTCATCCCTACCTCTCAGGAATTAAGTTTGTACTGTCCAGATGTTAAGGCTGTGGTGATGGTTATCCTCTGCACTGGGTCTGGCCTGAGACCAAGGAAGGTACTAGCTAGGCCTTCAGTATCCTTTCCAGCACTGGGGTTCCTTGGGTTAATGATTGGTTGCTATTACTGCACACCATACCTTTTACATAATGAAATGTCTTCGAACACCTAGTGTAAAAGTACTCAAGAAGAGAAATTATAGTGCCTGCTTTTAGAAGAGGCAGAAATTGGGTGTTGCTATCATGGTTACACCAGCAATCCCATCATGACCCCAGAGGGAGGTGGTATATGGAAATTAGATACTAAAGGGCTCTGCTGTCATGCTCGGTGACTTTGCCACCTTGTGCGTGAGTCTTCAGTCTTCTCTGAGCCTTAAAATTCCCTATTCTGGCCTCCTCAAGTCAAGTTAAAAGATTAGTACAAAAGTCAGATGAGGTAACAAGACCTATATGTGCTTATAAAATATCAAGTTCTTCTTACTGTATTGGATTCACTGATCATCTTTCTTTCTTTCTTTTTTTGAGGTGGAGTCTTGCTCTGTCACCCAGGCTAGAGTGCAGTAGCATCATTATAGCTCACTGCAACCTCAAACTCCTGGGCTCAAGTGATCCTCCCACCTCAGCCTCCTGAGTAGCTGGGACTATAGGTGCTTGCCACCACCTGGCTAAATTTTTTTGTTTTTTGTAGACACGGGATCTCACTATGTTGTCCAGACTGTCACTGATCCTCTTTGAGCACCAAATTATTTGCTCGATGATCGATTCCAGTCACTCCTTTGGGATTAAGTTGCCTGAAGGATGTTAGGGGGTTTCTGTAAGCTGTGGAGATCATGCCAAGAGATTGTCCACGTCCTCTCTTTGTACTGAGCTTGACCTGAGGTCATGAGGCCACCAGCTGGAGTTTAGAAATATTTTGTTTTTTATGAGAACTTTTGTTTTCATGAGGTGTGACCCAGACCAGCCTTGGCATACTTTAGCCAAAGAATCTCAGTGTAGTGATAAATGAGGTCTTGTACAACCATGCTGTGCAAAGTTGGTCTGTGAACTGGCAACACTGGTACTACCAAATAGAAATCCAGAGTCTCGCCACATACCCCAGAAATATCAAGTCAGAATCTGCATGTTAACAGGATTCCAGCTGATACCAACACACGTTAAAGTTTAGGAAGCACTGCTCTGCAGTATCCCAACTAGTAACAGTCAACAGCAGCCTCAGCTTAAACAGCCGCTGTGGCAGGCAGCTCACTTCCTCTTGAGGCAGCCCCTTGTCTTGTTGCACCGTTCTCACTTTAGAAACTTTTCCTTTCTGTCAGGTTAAAAACCTGCCTATCACTATCACACACTCAAGGTGCCAAGAATAAGACTCATTCTTCTGAAAGCCCACATAGTAGGTGCTTGGAAATGTTCATTTGTTTCCTTGGTTAGCTGGGAGCCTTGATCCAGAGGTTGGTGCTGGTGAGTGGAGCCACACAAGGTCGGCTCCCAGCCACCTGGCGAAAGCCTGAGGTCCTGGGACATTGTAGGAGGAGGCTGTGATGGGCCCCTCAATCCTGTCTCTTCCTTCACTCCTGCCAGAGTCTAAGGTGGCTGGTTTGAGTGATTGCAGTTTGGAGAACTTGAAGGGACTTTCCAAAAGGACAAGAGTCATGCCTGGGATGGAAAGTGGCCCTGCAGGACATGCTAAAGGATGAGGACATTGACAGTGGAGATGGACCGGCGGGGGAGGGGAGGTGGGTGTCTGGTGCAGTGGGAAGATCAACCAGGTGGCTTTACCTCTCACTAGCTGCGATGCTGAGGAATGCCCTAAACCCCTCTGAGCATCAGAGCATCAGCTTCCTGGGTTTTTGAAGAAAATAGGATGATAAGCCGTGTCCTGCCTGTCTCCAGGGTTTCTGCGGGACTCATTGAAGGTGAATGAAGGAATGAGGTCAGTGAGCACACTTAATAAGGTGGAAGATGGGCTGAGGGTGAAAGACAAGGTCAGGGATAGTAGGTGAAGCCAGGAGGACCAGGCCACCACTGACTCACCGCGTGACCTCGGGGGAGGCCCTCCCTCTCTCCGGGCCTCTGTGTGAAGCAAGTGGGTCATACACACAAGATTTCTAAGTGCCCTTCTGGGAGGCCCTGGAGTTGCTGTGGCCTGTTGCTGTTATTGCACGTTACCTGGAGGGTCTCTTTGAGGATGGCTCTTAAATATTTGTTTAGAGAGGCTTCCTAGAGCTTGGAATTGAGTCCTCTCTGGGGGAACTGATTCCGGACACTCTGCCAATGAAGGCCTGGCCTTTATGATGGGAGCCCCAGTCAAGAGGCGGGTCTGCTTGGCTATGGTTGCACCTGTGTCTCTATGTCAGCATGTGGGACCTGGACTGTTGAGTGGAGAGTGCGGCGTCGTTTCTACACGTGTGTCAGGGCACACAGTCCTGTTTCTGGAAGCGAGCTCTGCCCTGCAAGCTCTCTGAGCCTGCCTGATACCTCACCGGAGTGTGTCATGTGCAGACTTTTCCAGGGGAATGGTCTTGGTTGATACTTCAAGTATTACCAGGGGTTTTTTCAAAAGTGTTACTCTCTTTTTCAGTTTTTATAAGTATGGAAGTATGGCAGACCTGATAGTTCTAGGAGCCTGCTCTTCCAGGGAGGGCTTCTAGTCAGCAAAGTAACTGAAACTGGCTTTTGGTACAGCCTTCCATAGGCGCTTGCTGGCTGAGGGTGCAGGGACCGGTGTGTGTGGCTTATGGAGGGACTTGACCGTTCCTATAGCGCCCTTCCGTGTCTCTCTCCTGGGGACCCTGTGGTGTTCATCCTCACTTCACGGCAGCCATGTTTCCAAGTTCCCATTTCATTGCCTAGATGCTTGCCTCTAACTCTGTGCGTTTCCATTTTCTCCTGTGCACCCACCATGTTGTTGTGGAAACTCCGCAGCCATAGGCTGCGAGTCTCCAGTGTCATCCAAGTGTCACAGTGTGGTATGTGTATTTGCTCACACTTTTATTTTGAATCCTTTCCAATGTGACATCTGCTAAAATGTCTCCCTTATAATTTGCTTGGTGATCACAGCCTTCTCATCATTCATTGAGAGCAGGACCTGATCTCACAGAATCTGAAAAGAGCTATGTGGTAAGATGCCTGTTGAATAAGACTGCGGCTTTTCTAAAGAGAATCCTTACTGACTTCTGGAGTCCAGACTAGAGTAATGCCGGGTTAACTCACAGAGCCATCGTTTACAAGAGTTCTGTGGCTACTGTAGTAGAGAGAGATGTTAGGCCAGCCCCCACCCCTCAAAAAAAAGCAGAGGAATTTAGAGATAATATTTCTACTCTGCCTACATGTGGGATTAAATGAATGTATTAGTGCATGATGGGGGATACATACTTGCATTTCTACCCTGATATTATCTTATTCGTAACAGTTACTCACTAATTACAGGCTTTTATGCTGCTACCTTTTTTTTTTTTTTTAATATTCATACTAAATCCCAAATTCTTCTGTATCTTACCTGTTTTTCCATGCTTACGCCTGGATCCCTCCTGCACTCCACTACTGGAATATCTGGTTTTTTTTTAACCTGGATCTTCAACTCTGTTTTTTCCCTGGACTATGTGCTTCGTCTGGAATGTTACATCTCTTCCTCTCTTTCTTTTTTTTTTTTTTTTTTTTTTGTCCCCATGTTGACTGTTTTATGGGGGTTTCTGGATATCTCGGGGCCACCTCACAGGAAGCAGTTTGCAATGAGATCATAAACATTGCCGAAAAATCTGTTCATTACTGCAGCACTGTTTCTCATCCCCTTGACTTTCATCACAAGGTATCCCCTTCTGACAATAAATCATCTTTAATCATTTCTCAGCAACCTCAAGCCCAGCAGCGAAGAGTCACCCCAGACAGGAGTCAAACCTCACAAGATTTGTAAGTATTCTCAGAGAACTTCGATTCTCAACGTTCCTAGGGGGACTGGTGGCCTTAGAAAGTGGGTCATTGGGTCATCGGCAAACTGCAGGGGCAGTCGTTTGTGGGGGATGAGTGACTTACTGCCAGCTTCGCCAGTTAGGACCATATTTCCCATCAGCCAATGTGAAAACAGGTGGCAGCTAAACAGAGGGGTCATGGACTGCTGGGGGAGAGAGAGGTGAAGAGTCAACTGCCATAGAAGGCAGACGAGAGCTGTGCCGACTGGCTTCAGGCCTGGTGTTGTAGGGATGTAGAGGAGGAAGCAGTTAATTCTGACTAGAAATGAACGAACAGGGTTGATTTATTCATTCATTCAAAAAATTGACTAGATACCTCCTATTTTTTAAGTACATTGGCGAAAACTCTGTTCACAGAGGAAGGGTGATTTGAACCACGCATGGAAAGACAAATTGGATTTTGAGAGCTAGAACAGGGAGAAAGAGTTCTTCTCAGCTGCAGGGACCACATATGCAAAGGCATGGAGTGGTGGTGTTTGGAGAACTTGAAGAAGCCCATGTGGCTGCCGCCTGTGGTTCATGGAGGAGATAGAGACTCAAGAGGCGGGTTGAGACCAGACGGTAGATTCCAAAATGCAGGTGAAGCAAGTTTGGATTTTATTCTGCAGACACTAGGGAGCTACTGAAGGTTTGTGAAGTGAGGAACATAGTGACAGCAGATTGTCTTAGGTAACTCTGGCAGCAGAGTAAAGGGTGGATTTCAGAGATGAGAAATAAAGATGTTGGTAGAAGATATTAATCCAGCAGAAAAGTGAACCTGAGCCAGGACCGAGTGGTCATTTTGTAACCATGAAGTACATGTGGTTACCCACGGAGATACCCAGTAATGAAGAGGAGCCAGCAAAGGAGGCTGAGCAGGAGATGCAGGCGGAGGTCCAAGAGCTTTTGCTTTCACAGAACAGAGCCTCAGTGTCAGTTCGGCAGTGCCAAGGGTAGGAACCAGAGAGGCCAAGGGTAGGAACCAGAGAGGCCAAGGGTAGGAACCAGGCGTTCTCCTTGGCAACTGGAAAGATCGCTGGTGACCTGTGATACAGCAGTGTTAGTAGAGAGGTTGTGGCAGATGCTGCATTAGGAAGGGTTGTTGAGTAAGTTTGATGGCGAATGGAGGGGGTGGGCATTGGGTGCAGAGACTTAAGCACATTTGCACCAGAGTAGGAGGAGTTGATAGTCAAAAGATGCAAATGAGAAGATGTAAGTGAAGGAACAGTCCAGGGAAGGATGTTCAACATGGCCAGGAGAAAGACTGCTCTCTCCTCACATGTGAGAACAGGGGCAGGAAGGTGAGTGGAGGCCCAGAGACTGAAGTCTGGAGGTGGGAAGGTTAAGGTGCTTCCCACAGCAGGCTTCCGTCTCCAGAAGTGGGGGCAGAATGAAGAGCTCTCAGCTGGGTGTGGAGCACCAGAATCGGCAGGAGAAGTAGGGGAAGGACTCCATGGCACAGTGTGAGGCTGTCCAAAGTTAGAGCTGGCTGGGGGACGCAAGTGGCAAGGGTGAAGGACCTTCTCCAGCCGGTCTCCACTGTCTGGGAGTGAAAACAGAAGCAGACATCAGAAATTGTTTCCCAAAGCCAAAGCTGACAAAGCAGCCATGGTGGAAGTCAAGGGGACCAGGCATTCTGAGACATTGGCGAGGGCCTGTGTTGGAAGATCGGCCATAGGAATCCAAATTGCATAGGAGACAGCAGGCAGATACAGAAACATGAAAAAAAAGTATTCATTTATCAACTGGAAATTGATCTGCATCTCTTAACTCCTCGTAAGAGATCTTCCTTTTGGTGGCCAGAAGTATCAATACATTTGGATAAATATGTAAAGTGAAATTGTCCCTTTGGTTTTAGCAGAGCAGAATAAAACCCTTGTTTCTAGTCTCTCTTGCCCACACTCTGGATACCTATTGGAAATGGTAGATAATTGGCTCATTTGCAAAGTTTTGCCTGCTATGGTTGTGTTTCAAAATCCTCAGTAAACAGAATTGTGAAGTTGGTGCATAGTAGGTGCTCCTCAAGTATTTGTTAAAGAAAGAAATAAAAACAAAGCTTTTCTTTGATGCCAAAGCAGGTATCACATTTCACCATGGCAGTCCTGCTGTCTCCAGCAGCTGTTGTTAAAATAGAACAGCACAGACCTCATGCCTCAGGCCAACTTAGCAAATAAATAAAACTTTTACCCCCAAACCTCACTGGGATAGGAAAAAAGCAAGAAGATTTCAAGGGTTTCAGAAAAATGATATCCAAATTTAAAAGCAGTTAATGAGTCTGGGTACAGTGGCTCATGCCTGTAATCCCAGCACTTTGGGAGGCCAAGGCTGGAGTATCCCTTGAGACCAGGAGTTCAAGACCAGCCTGGGCAACATAGCGAGACCCTGCCTCTACAAAAAATAAGAAAAATAAGCTGGGTGTGGTGGTGCATGCCTATAGTCCCAGTTACTTAGGAGGCCGAGACAGGAGGATCGCTTGAGCCCAAGAGTTCAAGGTTGTAGTGAGCTGTGATTACACCACTGCATTCTGGCGTGGGTGACAGAGTAAAACTCTGTCTCTTTAAAAATAAAAAGGAGTTAATGAAATGTGTTAAGTGGCTTGTAGAAAAACTCAAAGTAGTTTTGCTAAACAGTGAAGCAGTTGGAATGTACTATATGTATATATTTTTATGTATATGTGCGTGTGTGTGTGTGTGTGTGTGTGTGTGTGTGTGTGTATTTACAATTGCCTATGTTCTCCAGTGTATATGACCAGAATGTAATGTCTCTGGGCCTAAGTAACTTCTGACTGTTCTCAATAGTCTACATATATGATCCTATGTTAAGGAAAAGCTTAGTTTACTTTAAAGGCAGGATATAGGGAGTACTCTAGACAAAAAAATCTTGGCTATGGAAACCAAGTCAAAGTAGATAATAAAACTGATCTTGGTGTGCTTGTCAGGAGTTCCCTATCCCTGTCAGTCTTACTTATCATGTTGAATGTGTCTCTTCAAATGCTAAGTTATCAGAGAAATAGCCAATAAAATACTTCTATCCCCACTGATGAGTAGGAAACACTACTTAAATATTGATTTAACTGAAATGGGATTTTAAAAGTCATCATTTAATCCTGACAGTGTTTGAGTCACTCGTTATTCATTTTTCTCATGCGTAGATTTAGCTACCAAGCATTATATAGCTATATACCACAGAATGATGATGAATTGGAACTCAGAGATGGAGATATCGTTGATGTCATGGAAAAATGTGACGATGGATGGTTTGTTGGTAAGAATCTCATCATGCTTTTCTTACTAGTTGTGCATTGAAGGAATGACTAGAGGCGGCGAGCCACGCGGAAAGCAATCTTCTCTGTCCAGAAAAAAAGAGCCTTTTCAGCTTGTATCACTGTTGGGAATACGAGGCACCCCCCAGTCTGTGTTTGCTCATAAGACGGTGCGAACGTTACTAATGTTGGACCTAAAACCCAAATGCTATATGCCAACATCGGCTGCATGGAAGGGCAGTTGCTAAATTCATTAATTGGGTTTTCATTTATTTCTGTTTTGCCTATGTCTATTTTACATTTTATTTTTAAAACTCTTACGGATCAACACAAGACAATTTTGAGCCTAGGTCTCTGCCATGAAACTCAAGTGTATGTGTAGACATTCCAAAGACCTCCTTATTTTCTCCAGGCTTCCAGTAACTTTAATCAAAGTAACCTGCTTAAGTAAAACAAAGGATTTGCCTTTAGAGGAAGGGGAAAGAGAGATCAACATCTATTGAAATTCTGTTACAAACTGGACACTGGGCCTGATGTGCTTTTATTGATGTTCTCTCAACAAACAGCCCTGCAAGACAAGAATTATCATCATTTAACAGATTCAAAAACAGGCCCAGAGAGGTTAAGTAACTATTCCAAAGTCATCCATGTAGCAAATGGTATGGCTAGGATTTGAACCCAGGATGCCCATTGCTCCCCAAGCCCATGTTCTTTCCGCTCAGGCTTGAGTATCATCGTGGGAGCCACTGGCCCACTCTTTGCTCACATGGCTTTAGCTTTATCTTCTTTCCAAAGACCAGTCTTCCCTGATCTCCCTGGAAAAGTTTTGCTAAAACAAAGTAATGTCTGGACTGGAGTGGTGAGAACATCAAGGCTTCAGCATTCATGGGAAGCCAGAAAGATTGGCTTGGCCTCACCACCCTCTTAAAAAGCTACCCCGTACTCCCAAGGCCGCCTCTGGGAGAGTGAGCCCTTGGCCCTCTCTACCTTGAGTTCTGAAAAGTCAGATCTGAGAAGTCAGCAACCATTCTAGTGCAGTGCATTCCAATAGAAACACAGTGCGCACCATGTATGAAATTGTAAATTTTCTAAAAGCCATGTTGAAAAAGTAAAAAGAAACCAGTGAAATTGATTCTACTATATTTTATAAACCCAGGACATTCAAAATATTATCTTTTGAATATGTAATCAATATAAAATCAGTTAGCAAGGTATTTTACATTTCTTTTATACTGAGTGTTCAAAATCTGATGTATATTTCACAGTTACAGCACAGCTCATTTCAGACTAGACGTATTTCAAGTGCTCAGTAGCCACATTGGCTATCATGTTAGAGAGTGCAGCTCCAGTATGTATCAGCTGTTAAACTCTCACAGCAGTAGTTACATTTTTTTATGAGAACTTGGGTGGAGGGAGGGCCACTGCTTTTCTAGTGGAGGTATCCCAGGCAGCTGAGTAAAGGCAATATTTTGGGATGAATATCTTCTTTGTACTTCTCGTCATCTCAGAAAGTAGTTTAGTATTCAAACCACAGATAAAGTAGCCCAGCAGAACTCATTTTTCTCATCCACAAGGAAAGATACTAACCAGCTGTGTGAGCACAGGCAAGTTCCTTACCATCCCAGTTCTCTAACCTTCCTCACCAGTCTCCCTGGGAGTTCAGCCAGATGTTTTGGGTGTCTTTCTTGAGCTTTGACACATTCTTTTGGCTTACAAGTTTCACTTGGGGTGATGATTCCAATGTACTTGTGGCTGCTTGAGATGCTGCATTCAATAGGATTCTGAAGCCAAATCCAAGCCAATTGGGGAAAAACGATGAAATTGTGATGCCTGCTAATGAGAGGATAACGATGACATGACATGTATCTGCCACCCCTGCTTTAGAGAGAGAATCCCAAGGGAAGGAACTAGATTAGAGGGATCCAGCAGTTCTGGATGTGGAGTAGCCCAGAAGGGGCTTCGTTGGGAGGGGCTTGGTGGGAACCCGAAGACTGCTAGCAACGCCAGGGGGTTAACTTGGGTTTAGGCACAGGCTTCTGAGAGGAACTTCTCTGTGATGTGTAGTCATAGTCCGTGGGCTTTTAGAAATTGTATGGTTTAGAAATTCTAAATCCCAGGTATCTTCTTGTAGTGGATAAATGTACTATTCTAATTCCTCCAAAAAGGAGAAGTGTTGGAAAAAGCAATGGGCTAGGAGTCAGAAGACCTGGTTTCAGATTCTGCCTCTGATATTTACTAAGCTGTGGGACTTCAGAAGTGTTATTTAAGCTCTCGGAGGTTGGCTTTCTTCCTCTGAAAAACAAGAATATAAGAGATGTCTGCCTTGCTTACCACCCAGCACTGTTTTGCAGCCTAAATGAGATAAGATAGGAGAAAGTGCTTTGGAAACCATATGCTATTCTACGAGCTGCAGGATTGTTATTAAGGGACATTCAAACACAAATCTCTAGAGCAGGAGTTCTGAGCTCACGTGGGCCAGTCTTCGTATTTTATGTATGTGTTTTTGTTTTTTGTTTTATAGGTACTTCAAGAAGGACAAGGCAGTTTGGTACTTTTCCAGGAAACTATGTAAAACCTTTGTATCTATAAGAAGATTGAAAACCTCGGAGATTATTTTTATTGGAGGATAAAGCGTAATTCACAAACCGATCTCTTTAGTTGAGTCAGTAGGAAAATTAATGCAGTGGATAAAGTAAGAAGCAAAAGAGAGGGACAGAGGAGTGTTGTTTGAAATCAAAGCCTGTCTAACATTACTGTGTATCAGACAGGGTCGAATGGTGTACTGAGCAAAAAGAATTGAGGCAAATCGCATTTACTTAGCTGCTTCTGGGAGCCAGTTCAGCCTTCCCCTCCCCTCCACCTCCTGGGTAATCTGACCCGGAGCACAGTCCAGAAGCAGAGTTAGCCGGAAATGCCTCCTGCTGCCCCAGCCTTAACCAGCTCCCATCTCAAAGGGGTCATCGAGCCTGAAGCAACCCTCGGGGAGCCAGGCAGATCCCCAGCCATTTTCAGAGGCTCCAAGCCTAAGAATCCACCAACTGCCCCAGCCTCCAGTCCCCAGCTGCCCTGGAGCCAGCTGACCCCCAGCACTCCTGGAGATCAGTCTGGGGTGCAGAGGCTGTCCCCAGACAGAGGTGGAGGCCCCCAAATTGCCCAAGACCAACTCCTTCTCTTGACCTGCTGAGGTACAGGTGGGGAAATGGAGGTAGAACACTCAGTGCATTCAGCCTGCTATGCAGCATGGCCACTGACTGCCCTGGTGTTCAGATGGAAAAGCACACAAGATTTGCCCATGAGAATTGGGAGCAGATGGCCAGGCAGATAGGTTACATCTGTATTTCCAAGTGATTAAGTCAAGAAGCTGCCCTTGAGGCCACTTGCAGTGCATTCCTTTCCCATATCGCTGGCTTTTATAGACAGTCACCTTCAGGGCCATGAAGTCACTCTAAACCACTTACCAGCTTCATTTATCAGAACCTCATTACTAACCCTTCTTTTCTGGCTTGTGTTTGGTGGGACAGTTTGGAATTGGTAGGCCTATTTTCATAGAAAACCAAGAACGGTGTCCAGGGATTCATTTAACGTATACCAAGGTACACTGGCTGCTGGGGAGACCAATGGGCAGGACTTGCTCCAGACTCTGAAGGGACTCGCCATGTCTCCCATCTCACTCCCTAAAGAAGTTCAAGGACCACCCAAAATTCACAGGGCTGTGAATCCAAATGCACCCTGGTGAGCTTCTCTGCAGAGGGAAGCAGTGATTATGCTGCCACCGGCAGTGACCAGGAATCCTGTCCTTTGTGGGGGCAAGATCTGAGGAGGGAGGCCCCTCTGGCACCCAGGGCGGGAGTTAACAACTCTCTCCAGCTTGAGGATGTTTGTCAGTCTCTCTGGTGGACCCCTTAATGAGACAAAGATAGCAATGACCCATTTGCTGCCCGCCAGGAACTCAGTGCTTACTGGGGAGACAGCCACAGAAAAAGGAACTTAATCAAGAGAGACTGTGGTATGTGCTAAGAAGGGTGTGAGAGAGGAAGAGATGACTTTTCCCTGGAGGGATCATAGAAAGCATTGTCATATTTCTGTCTCCATTAGCTCACTTTTGAAAATCTAGGATGCTGGAAGAACCTTTGTCTGAGGGTAGATCATGGCTGGAAATACTTGGAACTTTGTCCAGAGTCTCCAAGCTCTCTTCTTCATAAATACTCATCCAAGGTCACAAATTGCTGTTCTAGGTGGTAGGGGTGTGTACAGGAACCCCTGGCTGTCTGCATATAGCTCAGAATTACCCCAGGACCATTGTCCCAAAGTCTAGAGTCTTCACAAGTAGGCAGAATTTGTCTCAGTGCCTGCGCCTCAGCTGCTCAGATGCCCTTCTTAGGATCCCACCAGCTTCCCACCCCCCACCAGACAGTCACAGTACCCTCACTTTTTCTCCCTATCCTCCTTTCAAATCCTGTTCTCAGGAAAGAAATTGCCACTGATCCATTCACACTAAAGTGTAAATGACTGATAAGAGGAATGTGTTAGTCTTCCCACAGACATTTGTTTTTATCTAGGCCAGAAGAGAGCCTTAATCCCAAGGGAAAAGGCTTATGGAACTGGAGGGGTGGGGGAGCTTCCTGGGTAGAAAGAGCCTTCTTGATTGTCTTTAGGACCCAGTGACAATAGACCTATTGCTTTGGAAGGTCTGCTTCACCATCCAAGAGCACTGTGTTTTTGACTTTCTCTCTCTGGGGGAAAATAGTAAAAATGCATATTAACGTGCATTTTGCACGGCAGCATTTCACCCATTTTGGAATGTATTGGCTAATGCGTTTCCCGGTCTTTCTTAGATGCAAACCATTAATAACACTATCTTACAGAGTTTTGAGGGGTGCTTCTTGATAAAGTAGGTAATTTTGAACACCTCCTTAAATACAGCTAGAAAATAAAACCAATTTGTAAAGTCACATTTGCATATGATGCCAGCCTCATGCATTTGTATATCTCCAGAAATCCAAGTATGCCTCACGGATTTGCCGGTCTTTAATAAAGTCATATGGTAAAATTTGCATCACTTCAGCTTCCTATGTATGACAAAACAAGGAATAAAGGTTTCCAATTGCTCTTTTGTCTTCAGACATTTAGTAATATAAAGTACCTATTTTTATGCTGAAATGTTTATACTGGTTTATTAATAGCAAGTGCAACTAACTGGTGGCATGCCTTGCAACACATTTTGTTATACTAGCCATGCTTCCGGGTAAAGGCAAGCCCCTAACTACTTATCTTTTGCAGTCTCTCTGGGATCACTAAAAGAAAAAAAATCATGTGCTTAAGAAGTGGGACTGTAAATAATGTATATTTAACTTTGTATAGCCCATGTACCTACCTTGTATAGAAAAATAATTTTAAAAATTTGAATGGAAGAGGGGTAAAGTAAGGAAGTCATGAAGTTTTTTGCATTTTTATTTAAATGAAGGAATTCCAAATAACTCACCTGACGATTTTTAGCACAAAAATAGCCATTGTAAAGTGTTAAAATTTACAATAATTATTCTTTTGGAGAGAGAAGGTAGCTATAATCTCAATTACACTTTTTTTTTTTCCATTTCATTGTTTTGATTTTCGGGGGGGGGGGTGGTTTTTTTTTTTTTTTGGCAGTCCTATTTATCTACAGTAGCATTAAGTCCTATTGCTAAAATAGGTTACTACAAAAAAATTACATTCTGAAAGAAAAATAACTGACGTTATATATAACCAATTAATTTAAAGTATTGCCATTTAAATTACACACTATGAGCATGTTCTATGCAGATTTTTCTGTTCATTTATTTTTCTTTATTGCAGTGGATTTGATAAATGTGTTGAATTACTACATTTGCTGTACATATTATTTAATAAACTTTATTCAGAATCGTGTGGCATACATTTGTTCTGGCCGTTCATTGTTTCCTTCCTTCCTTTGCCATTTGCTTCTCAAAAAAGGCTTATATTCGCTGCTTCAACGTCTCATACTCTCCTTTCCACTCTTAACCACTTACCATCTGCCTCCCACCCACTTCTTGAAGACACCGCTTCTTCCCTTTTTTCTCAATAACCTGACTCCATGACCCTCTGAATTGACTGTTGACTATTTCACCATTCTTTCTATTAAAAATGTCGTATTCTGATAACAAAAGTAATGCACATGTGTCCTTAAAAGCAAAAGTGAAACATTGTATAATGAAATACATGTAATATGTCTTGATTTGCAGCCATGGGACTGTGGCACCCAGTACCGGTCTGCCTGTTGGGGACCAGGCTGCAGAGCTCCACCACCCTTCTTCACCCCACCCTCCCTGGAAAAACTGTCTTCCATGAAACCGGTCCCTGGTGCCAAAAAGGTTGGGGACCACTGCTTTACATAGTCATATATACTTTTTTTCCCCTTTAAATTAGAACTTGAACATGTTTCCATAAATTGTTTAATCAGCCCCGTATTAGTGATGCAATTATTTAAGATTATCACCAGCTTTTTACCACAACAAACAATGCTGCTTTGAGTAGAATTTTGGCTCAAAGAGCAGGAACATTTCAAATCTTAGACTTCCAAATTGCCTTCCCAGAGTACCAATTTGTACTTCCACCAAGTCCGTGGGAGTGTTTCCCACCACCCAATTAGGACCACTCCATTTTCAGCTTCCATGAAATGCTGTTCCTAGATTCGCCTGCCTTTTGGCTGGCCTATCCCTTCCCAATCCTCTTTCTAGATATTCACTGCATTCCCAGCCCTCTGTTATTCTCCCACAACACATGCTCCTGCAGGGAGCTGATCCCTCACAATGTGATTATGGCCCAAAGAGTCAATTGTGTGAGGGCCCTTTCAATGATTAAGTGGCAGAAACCTAACACTACTGCTTTTGTTGAAACATACCAAAGAGAACTGGAACTAGCCTCAGGCAGGAGTGAATCCAAACTCAGACTTTCTTGGGGTCTGTATTTGTCTTATTCTTGGCTCTGTCGGTTTTGTTTGGCTACGTTTTCACCTACTGAATACAGCAATGGGAAACGTGGCTGCAGGCAGCTCCTGCCTCATTCTTCCAGTGGTCCGCCTAGATTGTAGAGGTAAGAGGGCCTTTGTATTTAGCTTTTCCTGAAAACAATTCCAGACCCTGGCAGGCCTAACCTGGGCTAATTGCTTTGGCCAAAGTGGGGGGAGAGGAAAGGCCAGGGGAGGGGTGTCTGCTACATGAAGAGGAAAAGATCCACAGACCCACTTGGTGTTTTTTTTTTTTTTTTTTTTTGAGACAGAGTCTCACTCTTTTGCCCAGGCTAGAGTGAGTGCCGTGGCATCAGCCTAGCTCACAGCAACCTCAAACTCCTGGGCTCAAGCGATCCTCTTGTCTCAGCCTCCAGAGTAGCTGGGACTACAGGCATGCGCCACCATGCCCGGCTAATTTTTTCTATATATTTTTAGTTGTCCAATTAATTTCTTTCTATTTTTTTTTAGTAGGGACGGGGTCTCACTCTTGCTCAGGCTCGTTTCGAACTCCTGAGCTCAAACAATCCGCCCGCCTCGGCCTCCCAGAGAGCTAGGATTACAGGCGTGAGCCACCACGCACGGCTTGGTTTTTAAAAAAAGAAAAAGGAAAAGGAAGCTGGGCAGATAAAAGCTCAGTGGTCCACCGGATTTGAAGAGTTATTGTAACAAACTTTGGGAAATGGAGCACTACTGTCCTGGTCCCAGTATAAACTTCAGTGAATCTGAATGCAGGCTATGTGCTGAAGCTCTGCCAGCCAAGGGCGTCCACCCAGAGGGGGCCAATGTGACCATGGGGACATAGCACAACTGTATCACACGCTAAAAATACCGGGACTCTTCTGAAAGGGAACAAAGATTAGTGTCTAAGAAGTCACGGAAGGTATTTAGATGAGTTGTATGTGGATATATTTGCCAAGTGTTAGCATATAGAAATCAAGCCTGTCTCAGGAACATTTAGCCACAGCGTTTTAGGACACATGAAAGAAGTTATCATATGATACTGGTGATTTGTGGAATGAGCCGAGAAAATAGTTCAGATTGGAAGTATGAGAAATTAAATCTGCAGAGGCAAAAACCCAGGATGAGACGTCTGAATGGCCACATGACACTGTGAAGTCTGTCCTGGAGGACTACACTTCCAGAACCCTCACTCTGGCATTGTCAGAGACAAAATGGCTCCATATGGCTTACTCGTTTCTAAAATCAGACCTGACACACATGAATCTGCAAAAGGGAGGCAGATCTGAGAATCATCTTCAAAATAGTAGCATAAATTACATAAATTGGTTGCAAAATATGGTCTGGGGTCCCCAGGCCTTTCAGGAGATTCATAATGTCAAAACTATTATCATAATAATGCTAAGTTGCTTGTGGTAGCCAGCTTCCAAGAGCACCCCCAGTGAGCTAAGGCTGATATTCACACCCTGGCGTGGCCCCTTCCCCGTTCTATTAGGGTCGGTCTGGGTGACCAATAGAATATGGCAGAAGTGATGGTATGTCACATCGAAGGCTAGGTCATAAAAACCTTTGTGGCTTCTGTCTCGCTCTTGGATCACTCACTTGGGGAGGAGCAGACTAAGGGTTAGGACTTTTATGTTCCAGGTACCTTGTGGTGGATAAATGTACTAATTCCTCCAAAAAAGAGAGATTGGAAAGAGCTATGGGTGAGGAATGAGAAGACCTGCCTGGATTCAAATGCCTGTGACACTAGGTTGTGAGACCTCAGAAATGTCACTTAAGCTCTCTGAGCCTGAATTTCCTCATCTAGGAGGGAAGGATGCCTGGACCAAAGTGAGGTTCTGTTAGGAAGGAGGAAGAAGGGATGTTAAAAAGGCAATCTGCAGCGTCCATCATAGAGCTCGCCAGTCATTCTGATGCCTTCCATGGTGCCAGCACTTGCTGTGCATTATGTACTTATGCAAGCTCTGGGAAGTAGCTATTCTTAACCCCATTTACAGGCGAGGGGCCTGAGGTGCAGAGGAGTTCAGCCCAAAGGTATACGTACAAGTAAGTGGATTCAGTCTGATTCCAAAGCCAGTGTTCTTTCTGTTGATCACACTCTACTGTCTGCAAGGGACAGCTGACACAATACTGTAGACCAGTGTACCTCTGGATCATCTAAAGCTTACCGAAAGATTATAACATCTGCACAAGTGACCTCAGGGAGTAATCATAATAGTGATAACCATTTGATGAGCACCTACTATGTGCTTGAATATTGAGAGTTCAAGAAAAAGCCTATGTCCCTCCTCAGTCAGTCTTCAGTCAGAGCCAAGACAGCAGCAATAGCATAGATGAAATCCCTGCCAATTTCATGTCGTCTTGTTCTCTACCACCCACAAGCCTCTCAGAAGTGTGGTCCAGCCATGTGCCTCTACTTCCTCACCACCACACGATCACCTGCACTCTGGCTCCCCTATGTGGTGTCATAGATCTGCAAAGCTCAATTCACCAAGAACTTTGTACTCTATTTTCTGTATCAGTTAAGAACGACTTGAGCTGCAGTAACAGATGGCCCGACAAAGGACAGCTTATGTGACATGGATGTGTCTCATTATCTCACAGAAAAGACAGGGCTCTGGGTTGGTATTTCCCTTGGCCTTTCTCTTCATGATGACAATGTGACTGTCATGGCAGCTCCAAGCATCACATCCTTATACAATTGCATTGGAGGCAGGAAGCAGGGAGCAACACAGAACAGAAGTTTTCTCTTCGCATGCTTCTTTCATCGGAGAAGAAAAATCTTTTCCAACAGCTCTCCTCTCCCCCAGCATTTCATTGGCTAGAGGGGACAACGTGCTACTCCTAGCTGCAAAGAAATTGCTTCCTGGATGTGGATAGGACTGTCAAGCCCTTCCTGGGAGCCTCTTTTTTTGGCTTCTGGGAGATCTTCCTGCATTTTCCTCCTCACGGTTTCTTCCATTCTTTCCTGGTTTCTCATCCTCTTCACTCCCAAAATATGGATGTTTCCAAGCTTCTCTTTATAATCTGTTGCCTGGGCAATCTTATCTAATCCCCTCCCTTTAACTATTGCCTCTTGGCAAATTA